ATAAAACTTGAGCTCAGCTAGCCTACTTGCGTATTTTCAGAGATTAAAATAGCGCCTTTCCAAATACACGCGAGCTGTCAAAATCAGCGCAATTAGTTAACTGACTTGTTTTACCTACACAATTTAACGAAGTTGCCTCTTCTTCGGGGAACAGTTTTGAAATCAAAGCTGTTAATCAGGAAGTTATTAAGAAGATCAGAGACAAATCCAATGCCTTACCTAGGCAACAAGGAAGTTTGGGGAAATCTGCCCGGGAATTCTCTTCATCGTTGCTTAAAACAGCCCTCATGGTTGAGATGGGGAACTTCCTGAATTATTTATGCAATTAGGAAGTGCAAAAGAAAAAGTGGCACTGCTGTAAATAATATCAGGGGTGTAGAATATGTTCTTAAATGCAAATTCAGATGAAGGTTGATCCTGTGGCTACCCACATTTGTGAAACCAACTCCTGGACGCTTAGGAATAGTTTTGAAGAGGATGACCAGGTTGAACCTGAAGGAGGGGCCAAGCACGTCATCAGTCTTGAATCTCTCTGTGCCCACAAGACACCCAGGTCCAGCCCATCTTGAATTCTTTTGACTCTTATCTACCAGCAATGTGTGCTTTGACCGTTAGTAGTTCAGATTCTTGTTAGAAAGCTGAAGTTTGCAATAAACCTGTCTGTCAGCCTCGGAAGCCATCTTTTACTTGGAAGCTTCGAGGCTGCCACATTCAGGGCCTGGGAATTTGGGAGGGGGGATTTCATAGTGAGGTAGAAGATTAGACACAACATCATTCCTTTCTCAGAGAGTCAAGGACAAGTTGCCCTGCACCTGGAGGGGAGTGATTGGGAGGAATGTCTCCAGTTAGGATGAAAGATTTGATTGGGCCCTGTGATGGACTGCTGGGTGCAGGGGCTGGATCTTTGATTTCTCTTTTGGGAAAGGAAAACCGGGGACTTTCAGATTCGGTTTTTCCCAGATGTGCCAACATGACAGTTCTAATAAAATGAAACTTTGAGGAAATGCTTGTCTCGGAGTTTATTGTTTTGGAGTTGGTTAGCTGGACCGTTGACACGATCTTCATTTGAACCACATTGACTCCTGGTTTACTGAGCTTGAGACCTTTACATAGACAATGTAGAGAAAAATGTCTCTAAGCAAGGATTCAGCTTGTCAGGGGGACATCAGTATGGAAAGGATCTCGAACCTGAGAGGTATGAAGATGGGGTATCTTCAGACTAGTCATCTGGGGATCCCCCTTGTCTTCCCTCCGGAGGTGAGGAAGGAAAGTCAACAGTTTTCTGAGGTCAACCTGGACCAACATTGGAACCAAACAAGGCTTAATTCTATGCAAAAGTGAAAAATTCTAGGCGAAACCGATTTGACAGTTCAGAAGAAATGGTTTTCCAGTGAGAACCAGGCAATTTTAAAGCTGTTCCTTCCATGCTTTCTCTCTGATGCTCATTGTTGAGGTTGAGAAGGGCTCGGCCCACATCTGATTGCATCCCCCTCTAGATAAAACCAAATTCCTTTGGGGTGGAGGTGACACACGGCACCTTCTAGCTTCACAACACCGCACATCCAAGCACTTAACCAAGAATTAAACAAGGAGCTGCATCCCAGCCACATAACCCACTGGAGTCATGCTGAGCAGTGCTTATGAGTCATATTAACAGCTCAATGAGCTTTTAATGAAGCATTCAGCTGCTCCAGCGGCCCAACCAAAGCAAATGATTTCTTTGCATTTCCAATCTTATCGGTGGCGATTAAGAGAGTAGCAGATAAAATGGTCCAACGAATGTCTCCATGAGAAAGTATTTTCTGGAAGTTTTAGGACTGTGGACTTTGCAAACCTTCTTTGCTCTCAATAATCCTGCTGGACATTGGAGGATTTTAAAGAGGTGCAGATTCCTTGAGATCATGCCGCTGCCCTTGGTAGCTACTATTGGGTCCTGGGAAAAAAAGATGCATTAGTTTAAGGAAGGGACGTCCAACCTTAGCAACTTTAAGACCTGTGGACTTCAACTCCCAGAATTCCCCAGCCAGCATGAGATTCTGGGAATTGAAGTCCACAGGTCTTAAAGTTGCTAAGGTTGGATGCCCCTGGTTTAAGGTGTTCCCCAAAGATGCTGAACACACACTGGTGCTCATTTTGATGTGCATAACGCTGTCGGAAGCCAAGGCGCTATAAAATCTAAGCACACTCCACATTGCAACCTGCAGAAGGAAATCGGGGAAACTTCTGTTTAGAAAAGGTTAAAACGGAACCGAGGCACAAAAGACCATTGTTATTTATTCTTCTCCTTCCTTTTCCCCTAAATGAGTTTTCTCCTTCCTTCAACTTTCCCCGAGAATCCCACGCTGGTGTTCATTATCTAGACCGCTGGCAGATGTCCTTGGACCACTTTCCAACCCTTCGTAGCCAACTTGACCCTCTGGGGAAATCAGGGGACATTATTTCCCGGGCGCTGTCCTGAAAAGCAAGCCTCCTGCAATTTATTTATTTCATTTGTCCCTTGCCTTTCTCATCGGCGGGCTGACAAGAGGAAAAATAGGCCGTATTTTAAGAAAGCCAACAAGCAGATGTGCAATTGATGTCGAAGGCTCCTAGGTAGGAAAACAAGTCAGGGAAGAAGATAGCCTGAGATTGTTTTCGATGCCACGTAGGTTTGCCAGCAATAGGGAAGCAAATAATTACAGTCAATGGGAAGAGGACGTGCTTGCTTTGGGCCTCGTTCAAGACGAAGACAGAGGAAGGGAAACTCAAGAGCTGGGCTGGGGGCAGAGATCAATTGTTTCTTTCTAACTCTCTCCCCACATGCTACGCTGAGCTCCCGTTGTGTTGATTGGAACGGCTTCCACTTCTTGCCTAACCAAAACAGACTCAGACAAGAAACTGTCTTTTCAACACACCTCTGCGAGGTAGCTGTTAACGCGGGTCAGGTAAGCAGGTGGATTAACAGGGAGGATCATTTTTCTGTTTCTCTGCCCCTTTCCATCATGGAAGCCCATGTCAAAGCTCCTTATGATTTCTTCAGAACCCCGACAGAGGTCCTTTTTTCACCTTTCATCTGTTGGAAAGGCCTTCAAAGAAGACCAGCGGAAAGAGAGGGTACTCTATTCCTTTTCATATGCAATGTTTACACCAGAAAACCCAGCATAGATAATCACATAACAGATAATTAGAGTTGGAAGGGTCGTTGTAGGTCATCTAGTCCAACCCCCTGCCCAAGCGGGAGACCCTATACCATTTCCGACAAATGGCAGTCCAATCTCTTTTTGAAAGTCTCAAGTGATGAAGCTCCCACAACTTCCGAGGGCAATGGGTTGATTGTTCTCACTGTCAGAAAGTTTCTCCTTATTTCCAGGTTGAATCTCTCCTTGTCCAGTTTCCATCCATTATTCCTTGTCTGGCCTACAGGCACTTTAGAAAATAGCTTGACCCCCATATCCTCCCTGTGGCAGCCCCTCAAATATTGGAAGATCTCTATCATGTCTCCCCTGGTCCTTCTCTTTACTAGACTAGCCAAGCCAAGTTCCTGTAACCATTCTTCATATGTTTTAGTCTCCAGTCCCCTCATCATCCTGGTTGCTCTTCTCTGTACTTTTTCTAGAGTCCCAACATCTTTTTTATAATGTGTTGACCAAAACTGGATGCAGTACTGTAGGTGTGGTCTTACTAAGGCATTATAGAGTGGTATTAGTACCTCCCTTGATCTCGATTGTATCCCTCTGTTAATACAACTTAGGATTGCATTAGCCTTTTTGGCTGCTGCTGCTGCACACGGCTGGCTCCTATTTAGCTGGTTGTCCACTAAGACTCCAAGATCCCTCTCACAGTCATCGTTCAAAACATGTAGAATTCTATCTTTACAGTTTGGCAAGTGGAAGTTGAACCGATTAGAAAATCCCACCAGCGCTTTCTCAAGTTTTAGCAACCGTTCCGCAGAGAACAGGGATGATTAATTTATGGAGTTTAGGAAGACGATAACAGAGCATTACCTCAATGTCTGAAATGAAAAGGTCTGGAAGAGTTGAGGCCTGAGATGTCTTGAAATTGAATGAAAATATAACATAAGTAGTGCTGGAACCTGACATGAAATATTTCGTGTTAAATACAGAGGAGCAGTGAGATATAAGAGAAAGCAGATTGATGCTGAATTTATAGAATTTATAGCGAGGGCCTTCCTTCAAAAGGAAAGGGTTGAGCTTGTAACTGCGGCCATGAAAGCAGACCCATTCTGTAAGCCAAGAGACCCAACAACCACGTGTGAACCTGGCCAGACTGGGAGAAGGCAGAGAATGTGACTGAACATAATGGCATATTGGCAGCCTAATTAATACCTGAAGAACCTCTGCCTTCCATATCTATGACAATACTTGAAGGGCACCATCAGTGAGGGACAAGATTGCATCTGGCTTGGTGTTGTAATGACGAGGTAGTCGAGTTGTTTGGTCATGATCAACTGAATCATGATGAACTTTATTGGAGACTAGTCTTGCATTTATATACATTTTTAATTATCCTCCAAAATTGGTTAACTTTGGTTACTGCTTAACTTTCGTTTCTGTTTAGCATAATAGTAATTAACACAATTAATTATCTCTAGTTAAAGTCTAACATATGTTTACTTCCTCTCTCTAATCTTCCTTTAGATTAGTGACTTTGTTTGCCGGAGTTGTATTTGCTTGGAAACATTCTTTATCTGAGGTCTGCCATCCGAGATTAGAACATTCCTGCAATTACAACTCTACAGCTTGGTGGATCACAACCTCTTCAGAACTTCCTCAGTGCTTGATCATTGGTGAAAGGCAGCAGAAGGGGCCCTTTTATGAAATCCCCCGAAATCCCTCTCTTCCACCATCTCCCCATTAATCCCAATACTGGCCTGAGCAAATTAACACCAGTTATTTATTGGTATTAATACTTTTCATGGATATGTATAACATGCTCCCATTTCTCCTCCTCTCTGAGGTTCTCAAGATGGTTACCTTGCATGCTTTCAGGTTTCTGCTTACCTGCCTCTCCAACGTAGACTTCCACAGGTGCGCTGGCAGGGCTTTCCCCAATAATGTTATATGCTGTCATGACCACTTCATACCTCTTGTATTTTTTCAGTTCTAGAAATGTAAATAATTTGCATGATTTGTTAGCATCCCCTTTAACAATCCCCAGTAGAATTTCTCCGCTACTGTCTTCCTGAAGCATAGTAGGGGTCACAGTTCCAAAAAGGGATTGAACAAACCTTGGTAGCTTGAAGATAGGTGGACATCAACTCCCAGAGTTCCCCAACCAACGTGTGTGGACTTCAACTTCTAGAATCCCCCAGCCAGGATGTATGGACTTCAACTCCCGGAAGAGTTGATCCATACACGCTGCCTAGGGAATTCTAGGAGTTGAAGTCCACCCTTCTAGGAATTGAGTCCACTCCTCTTCAAGTATCAAGGTGGAGAAACACTGCCCCAGATGATTAGAAAATCTTTCAGAGATGGTCCACTTTGAATATGCCAACTTTAGAGTTGCCAATATATGCAGACCTCTTGGATGGGGCAACCATGGGCAGGCGTCTCCTCACCGTCCTCCAAATTATTACTGAAGGAAGCCACCTGGGCTGATGGTGGAAACTGGGCTAGAGAACTCCCTTGTTCGATTCAATGGACAGCTGGGCGACTGTCCAAATGGGTCTTCTGTAAAGAGCTCCAGTGCTAAGCTCGCCTCTTCAAATAAAGCCACAGTCAATGCTACGATACCCAACTTGGTATTTGGGGTGGGTGGGGAATGGAAGCTTTATTAGAGAGCAAAAAAGGCATAAACTTGGGAGATTTAGTGGCGTGAGACTGCAATGTCTTTCTTAGGCTGCAATCACAGCTCTTGAAAAATCACCAACACCATATTCAGCTGCCACCCTTTGTGAGCTAAGACAAGGAAGCAGCATTGACAGGATAGAAGAAAGGGACGACAGCACACTGCAACGTATTAAAAAGCAAAAACAAAACTTGGACAGGGAGAGGAAAGAAAGTGTGTGTGTGTGTGACAGAGAGAGAGAGAGAGAGGGAGAGGGAGAGAGAAGAGAGGGAGAGGGAGAGAGATAGAAGGAGAGACAGAGGGAGAGGGAGAGAGAGAAGAGA